ATGTCCTGGGACAATATGGGCTCATTTAGCCTGGAGCTGAGTTCATTCTAGGCAGGAAGTAACCAAGGGACTTTGTTGACATTATCAGACTAGTTACATCAGCTTTCCATGGTGGATTCCTCGGATTTTGACACATTGTGTTTCCTGATTTATTTGCCGGATCATAAGGACTTCTGAGTTTTCCTAGCCGTGTACCCCGCAACACTGGCTTAATGACAACGGAGCTAACAATGAGATTTGCAGTAGCCCAGGGCCAAATACTGGGGAAGCACAGATCCCAACATGGACCCCAGGATAAACCGCCAGGTGTGGGGGGGAAAAGCCATTGCTGCGGACTTGTGCTTCAGCCAGGCTGAGCCACTGCAGGCAAGACGCAGCGAATCAGCGAATACCAACTCCTCTGGGTCCTAATGCCAGCTCATTCTGGGTGGTTGTTTTCTGGTTGTTGTTGTTCTTTTCCGCTGCCTCCATCACTCCACATTTGTCTGGTTTTGTTTCTGCCCTACCATGCCCTTAACACCTTTGCTTTCACTTTTCAGTTACAGTAACACTGAAAGGTTATCAACAAACCGCCTCATATCAAGTTGCAGTTAGACTAAGCATCTCCCCGTGTATTAAGGCTGGGCAAGGTGACCCAGTATGAGGACTAGGTTCCCCAAAAGCCAGTAAGAGTCAGAGACAGCCCCTGCTCCTGCTGTTAGAAGTCCCACAGGAGGACCAAACTATACAGCTGTCACATATATGCAGAGTGCTTAGGTCAGTCCCGTGTAGTCTCCCTGGTTGTCGGTTCAGTCACCCACAATGAGCTGCTATATGCCCTGCTCTCTCCTAAACAAAAATGAAGAAATGGATTGGGGTGTAAGAAGAAAGGGGAGATGGCGGAGGGACTGGGAGGAGAGGAGGGAGGGGAAACAGCGCCCAGGATGTAATACAACTTTTTAAATACATTTTTTAAAGAAAAAAAGAAATATAAATTTAACCAATAAAACCATATGAACAGAAAAAAGGGAGAATGCCTTTGCAACCTACAAGGGAGCTACTTTAAAAATAAAATTTGCAAACTAAATCTACAAAGAAAATGCAGTGAAGCCTTACTGTAGTTGCCAACAGCAGTTAGATGTAGCGGATATTTCTTTATGCTCCTATGTACTATCTTGCTGAAAATATTTAAAACTAATATAATCACGTAGAACAAGAAGATACATCTAGAACTTGAGACATACTGTAAGACAAGTAACCTGGACTCTTCGAAACTATCAATCTATTCAAAACAACAACTGGGCATGGTGACACAAAGAGCTGTAAATCCAGCAGTGAGGAAGCAGAGGCAGAAGAATCATGAATTCAAGCAGAGCAGTGGTGGCGCACACCTTTACTCTCAACACTCAGGAGGCAGAGGCAGGCGGATCGCTGTGAGTTTGAGGCCAGCCTGGTCTACAGAGCAAGTTCCAGGACAGCCGGGGCTACACAGAGAAACCCTGTCTTGAAAAACAAACAAACAAAAAAATTTCAACAACAAAAACCAAACCAACCAAGCAAGCAAACATGACCTGGTTACATGTAATACATGCATCTTGATGAGATACTGGGATCAAAAAATGAAGTAGTTTTAAAAACATTTTGAAGGGCCAGGTGGTGGTGGCGCACACCTTTAATCCTAGCACTTGGGAGGCAGAGGCAGGTGGATCTCTGTGAGTTCAAGGCCAGCCTGGTCTACAGTGAGTTCCAGGACAGGCCCCAAAATTACAGAGAAACCCTGTTTTGACAAACCAAAACCAAACAAATAAAATAAAACAAACCACTTTGAGGATAATTGGGTAATTTAAGAATGTGATATATATATATATATATATATATATATTTGTATACTGAAAAAAATCTATTTATACACTAATCTGTACTAAGTTTTTAAAAACTGAATTGGGAATGGAACCAGGGCCTTGTACGTGCTAGGCAAATATCCTGCAACTGAGCTACAACCCTAGCCCTGGACCATATTTAACTGCATTATTAAATTACTGGGCTTCTCTGTAGTATGAGGGAATGAACTCAGGCTTTACACATGCTAGACAAGTGCTCTCTCATGGAGCTGTATCATCAGCCTGCTTTTTGACTTTTTACTATTTGAGGCAGGGTCTCATTCAGTTGCCCAGGCTGGTCTTGAACACATTCTGTAGCTCAGACTGCAGGACTACGAGTGAGGTTAGCTCAGTGGTAGAATGCTTGTAAACATACATTAAGATCAAAATTCAACCCTAGTACTAAGAAATACTACAAGAGGCAGGAGATTTAGCTCACCAGTAAAGATTATTGGTAGTTTTTTTTTGTTTTTTTGTTTTTTTAGGATTGGGATTTAATTTCTAGAACTCACAAGGTGGTTTACAACGGAATAACTCCAGTTCCAGGGGATCTGACTCCCGCCTCTTCTGGCCTCTCTGGGCACAAGACACATGGTGCAGACTTACATTAAGGCAAAACCTTTAAAAAAACAAGAGAGAGAAAAGCAGCTAGGCATGGTGGCACGTGGATTTGATCTTAGCAGAGGCAGGTGGACCTCAATGAGTTCAAGGTCAGAGTGATTTCCAGGACAGCCAGGGCTGCACAGAAAAACCTGTAGGCAAAGGCAAAACACTTATATACATAAAATAAATAAAATAAAAATACTTTTAATTATAGTGGCTCATAAGTGTTATAGTAGGATAGAATTGTTTCCCTCTGTTGTTAGCTTGTATAGTATTTTCTATACTTTAATCCCAGCACTCGGGAGGCAGAGGCAGGCGGATCTCTGTGAGTTCGAGGCCAGCCTGGCCTACAAGAGCTAGTTCTAGGACAGGCTCCAAAGCAACAGAGAAACCCTCTCTCGAAAAACAAAACAAACAAACAAACAAAAAACCCAAAAACAACAACAACAAAAAACCCCCTCTGTATCAAAATCAAGAATTTCATTTTAAAGACATTCTGGCTGTGCAAAGCAGGCTGATCTTGAATCCCTCATCCTCCTGCCTTAGACTCTGTGTGTAGTCCTGGGGATTATGGGTATGCACTAACATAGCTGGCATTCATTTCTCTCTCTCTTTCTCTCTCTCTCTCTCTCTTTTTTTTTTTTTGGTTTTTTCGAGACAGGGTTTCTCTGTGGCTTTGGAGCCTGTCCTGGAACGAGCTCTGTAGACCAGGCTGGTCTCGAACTCACAGAGATCCGCCTGTCTCTGCCTCCCGAGTGCTGGGATTAAAGGCGTGCGCCACCACCGCCCGGCCTCATTTTTCTCTTTATCTACTAAATTGTTCAGTCTCCACTGCTTTGTGGTACAGGGATTGATTAAAGGCGTGCGCCACCACTGCCTGGCAACAGGTCTTATTTTCATTTAACAAATTTGCTTGAAGCTGCAGCTTGAAGCTGAGTAGTGGTGGTCAATACGTTTAATCCCAGCACTCGGGAGACGGAAGCAGGTGGATCTCTGTGAGTTTGTGGCCAGTCTGGTCTACAGAGCGAGTTCCAAGAAGGCTCCAAAGCTACAGAGAAACTGTTTCAAAAAACCAAACCAAAACAAAAACCCAACCAACAAAACAAACAAAAAACTAAATTTGCTTGAAGCCAATCTTGTACTGGGTCTCCTTGAAGTTCAAAAACAAATTGTCTCTGCTCTGAGTTCCTTCTCCTGTGGTGATGAAGCCACATTAAGAACTACAGTATAGGGACTAGAGAGATGGCTCACTGGTCAGGAGCGATTATTCTTGCCCTTGCTGAGGACCTGGACTGCAAGTATTCCTATGGCGGCTCACAACCATCTGCAACTCCAGCTTCAGGGGATCCAATGCTTTCTTATCTCCTCAGGCATCAAGCACATATGTGGTGCGCATACATACATAAAGGCAAAACACTCATACACATAAAATAATTCTATAAGGACAATTTTAATAATAAAATAACTACAGTATAATATTGTGATAAATCACAGACACGTAAAGGCAAACGCTGGTGTGATTCTTACTCAACTGGGAGTCAGGGAAATTGCCGTAAAAACAATTGCATAGAAACTTCATCTAAGGGACAGGAGTTAAGACTTTAGAAAACAGAACCTGCAAATGTTGTGACTACTTTGGGGGTCCAGAGGAATCTGGTGTCTAGGGTGAAACATAAAAGTAATCCCTATATTGTAAGGGGAAGGAGGACAAAAGGATTTATTTTCGGCAGGGATGGGTTGGAAGTGAAGAAATACTCCTTCAGGGGTTGCCTTACCTAGCCCAGCCCCATCGCTAAGGTTTAGGGGTGAGGAGGGAGAAAGGACTGGAATTAAATGATTAGGAAAGATTTAAATTCAGAGTTACGTTTTTGGAGGGGCATCTCACTCCCCAAGCCAGGAGTCTTTCTTGAAATGCTTTTTAAAGACATCCTTACCTACCCTCGCTTTAGAGACAAGTTTATTTTCTGGAGACACAGGAATCACACATGGGGGAGAAGGGTGAATGAACCGGTGAATGAAAATCCCGATAGTTTCGGGTCCTGCTCCAGGTGAGCCTCTGAGACTAGAATGGCGCTGAGAACAGCTAAGTCCCTTCAGGTGGGAAAGACTCGTCCAGGCAGACACGTGATTCCGGCGGCCATTTTCCCGCACCCGGCTTGTCGCCATCGCCATCTTCCAGGAGGACAAATGATTGCCCCCTACCCTCTTCAAACGATGCCAGTGAATACTTTAGTGACTGAGACTGGATAATATGTATCCTAAAAAGAGTCCTTTTTACAAATAGCTTTTGTGGCCACACGAGTACATACACACACATACACCCACACACCGCCATCGCCGGGCACACACACGCATTCCATGCCCCCCCCCCACTTCCCCGCCTTCACCATTGCCCGGCTCCCGCCTCTCTCTTCGCTATTTCTTTACCCACGGGCAGCCAGGAGGCGGGGCCAGCGTGGGAGATGGAGCGGGATTGCGCAGAGCAGCAATGATCTCGAAACTCCGCCTCCATGCAGTAAGAAAAGCAGGCGGAGCAATGCGCTGGGCTGAGATCCGGAAATCCGGGCGGATCCTTGCTGCGTGGTCCTTGTCTGGCGTCGTTGTTCTTCCAGCAGCTCTCGGAGGCTCTGCCAGAAGTGCAGGTAAGAGACTACGCTCTCTTTTTTTTTTCCGTGGCGAGCGCTCACCTAGCCAGTAGTGCAGTGAGGATGGTTTTTTAAAGATGAAACCAGAGATGCTCGCCATCCTGGAATAGAGAGGTGGAATAGAAGCTGGCTTGCTTCTGGGGTTGAAGGGCCCGGAAAAGGGATATGGATAGCTCCATGTGTGGAGATGCGCTGAACTGCATTCTGGCGGTCACAGAGAGGCTACCAAGATGCATCCTGGTCATGTAGAGAGGCAGATCATACGCATGAGACAAAATGTCGGTTGCCTTCTTCCTTTCAGGATATTTGGCGTCATTTCGCATTACTGCCATTGCTTTCCTGTAGACAGACGCCCCCTTCCATGTTGGAGCAGATCTATTACGTTCCTATTTGGATTGCGTAATTTGTAGATAGGTGTCAATCCATCAAATGGTGGTGGTGACGTCATCCCTGCCCTATAAGAAAATAATTTCCAATACAAGGCTGAACAGTACAGATTCTCCTGGCTTATTAAGGCACAGATCTTCATCGAGGCATCTTGTTGACCACCTCCATACTGGTATAGAGGCGCTCAGAAATGTGTACTGTCTAGAAGGGAGAGATCTGATGTAGAGACTTGCCCTTCTTGTGTCTACCCTTCCCCTGCAGAGTGACCAATCGACACCGTCAGCCTGAATATCAAAATGGTTAGACACAAGCCGATGGACGACCACACAGACTTGCCCCTCCCCCATGGCACTGGAGACTCCTCAGACACCATATCTACCCCATAAATAATGGCTATTTTATTGATTTTTGTAAAGGCCCACCCCTAAACTGGCTCAGTACATGGGAATAGACTTTAGTCCATTGAGAGGATGTTGTGCCTCTTAAGGAGACCTCAGCATGAGAGACTCAGATTTATTCTCCCCCCTTTTGAGGTAGATAGACTCCACCCTCCAAATGATATATAATCACCAAATTGCCAAGAGAGAGACATCTGAGCAGTAGAGGTGCAGATCACACCCCCATTTAGCCTTGACAGATAGTGACGTCATAGTTTATAATGGCATGGCCTTATGCCTTCCTATTTCTTAGCCATACAGAGAACCAGAAGCCCTATTCCTTTCACTACTAATATATACTGCTGACTTTAACCCACATGAAATGTACAGACACCATTCCGGTACACCACCTATGGAAGGATTCAGAATGGCCTCCATGGGGCAAAGGTGTGCGAACCCTGCTCATTCAGAGCTGCAGGAAATAAGCATAGCAGCAGCCTCGCTCCTCATTGACTGATGAGAAAAGAGACCTAGGTCTACCTTTTCCCATAGTTCAGTGCCTGGACCAGTGCTCTCCCATGTAGCAGTGGCGACACACATGACCACTGTATTGGTTTCTTTGTTCAGTGACCCAAGAAGAGAGGTACTTTCTATTGCCAGGGTGCAGACCCCAGCCACATATGGAGCTGAGATCCTCCACCCCACATCCTGAGATTTGGCATTGACCTCAACCTATGCAGACATAAGTAAGAATTCTGAGAACCTATTTCTCTAGGGATTTGTTTTTTTCCACCTCTCTAATGGTAGGTGGCACACAGAAGCCCCCTTTGAAAAAACACACTAGCATGTCTTTTCATGAAAAAAACAAGTATCTGCTCTTCTCCCAGTGTGGAGGGGTTTAGCACTAGTCTTTTACCTAGGATATGACACTACAGGTATCCCATTCAACGTATTGGAGGCATGAACTCCATCCAGAAAGAGAGGTTCTGATCTGCTTCTCTTAGAGTCGTATAATACAATACCCCTTCCTCGGGTGTACTCAGCTGTATCAGGCCCTAGGTCCAGTATAGCCCATTCTCCTGACTTTCCAGTTGGTAGGGCTTCCTGATTATGTTCTGTGGCATTTTATTTTGCCTTTAAGGGTCTTAAAAGGGAATTGTGTTTCCTAGGTCTGCCTTCCTCAAGTTGCTGCCTTTATTCCAAGCTCATCTTATCACCATGATGAAGCTTAGACACAGTGAGTCTCCTCTGCCACCCTCTCCCAAGCCTGTGCATTCAGTATTTGTGGTGTTTTGCAAGAACTTTGCTGTTTTTACTTGTTTATATATTTTGAAGTTGGCCTTGAATTTGCTGTGTAGCTGAGGCTGGTCTTGAACTCTTGATCCTCCTGCCTGTACCTCCCAAATGCTGAAATTACATGTTCTACCACATATGGTTTTTTTTTGTTTGTTTTTGGTTTTGGTTTTGTGTTTTTTTTTTTTTTGAGACTAGCCTCAAGCTCCTTTGTCATCCTGCATCAGCCTCACAAGTATTGGGGCTGTAGGAATGTGATGTGCTGCCATGCTCGGCTCACAACTTAAAAATTACTCGGTATGACCCTGCTCGCCAGTCTGAGTCTTTTGTAGATGGTACCTTTGGCATTCTCATAATTTCTTGGAAGGTAGTTTTTCCTTTTTCCTCATTGTCATTTTACAGATGATAACATGGAGGCTCAGCAAGGTAAGTGACTGAATCTGAGGTAAACAGCAGTAATTGATCTATGATGCTGCATAATAGGCCCCAGCGTCTGTCTTCATAGCTTCTGTCTTTTAATTGATATCATAAGTTGTATTGGTTGTGTGCAGAAGCCCCATTGAGTTTCAGTCTCCCCTCCTTTTTTCTTAGCTGTATAGTTTTGGCCAAGCCACTTAATTCCACTTTCCGTATCTGCAACACAGTGGTCATTAAGTATAATGTCTCTCTCTATATAATTCACACACACACACACACACACACACACACACACACATATATATATATATCATATTGTTTTGGGCATTTTATTTGTTTTGACATATAGGGTCTTTCCAGGTAGCCTGTGCTGGCTTTGAATTTGTCATCTTTCTGTCTGACTCCATCCCTGAATTGCTGTCAGGAGGCACCACACCTGTCAAGAGGAATTTCTTTTTGAGTCAAAGTCTCGCTTAGATCAAGCTGGCCTCAAACTCCCTAACATAGTTAAGGATGACCTTGAGCGCCCCCCCCCAACAGGGTTTCTTTGTTTAACTGCCCCCAAGGCTGTCCTGGAACTCTCTTTATAGGCCAGGCTGGCCTTGAACTCACAGAAATCACTTATCTAAGCCTCTAGAGTGCTACATTTAAAGGTGCAAGCTGCCACTACCCGGCGACCTTGAATTTCTTTTTTTTTTTAATTAAAAAAACAGTCCTAGTTCCTAATCCCTCCCCTCCTCCCATTCTCTCCACACACCTTCCCACCCCACCCTCATCTAATCCCCAGAGAAGGTAAGGCACACTCCTTTTTGGAAGGTTCAAGGCCCTCCCTACTATATCTAGACTGAGCAAGGTATCCATCCAAAGAAAATAGGTTTCCAAAAAACCAATACATGCAGTAGGTTCCACTGCCAGTGGCCCCACAGTCTGCCCCAGCAATACAACTGTCACCCTCATTCAGAGAGACTAGTTTGGTCCTATGCTTGTTCCTTCCCAGTGTACCCATCAGCTCAGGCAGACTGTTTCAGTGGGTGTCCCCATCATGGTCTTGACCTCTTTGCTCATATTCTCACTCCTCCCACTCCTCATCTGGACTTTGGGAGCTCAGTCCAGTGCTCTGATGCCGGTCTCTGCCTCTGTTTCCATCAGTGGCTGGATGAAGGTTCTCTGGTGACATTTAAGGTATTCATCAGTCTGAGTACAGGGCAAGTCAAGATGCCCCCTCCCCCTATTGCTTAGGGCCTTAGGCAGGGTCATCTTTGTGGACTGGGGGAGCGACCTAGAATTTCTAATCTTCCTGTTTCCATTTCCTTAGTCCTTCGGTTATAGGTTTATGAAATCATGCTCAGAATAGGATTAAAAACTTTATTCATCTGTTTATGTGTGTATGTATATATGCATGTATGTGTGCACTTCTATGGTTTGGGATATGTGTGGAGGTCAGAGACAACTTGTGCGAGTCAGTTCTCTCCCTGTTAGCCAAGGGGATTGAATTTAAGTCCTTAGGCTTGAGGATAAGCATCCTTTTACCCACTGAACCATCTTGCTAGCCCCAAGAGTGTGCTTTGCAGTATTTCTCAGAATGGCCTCAAATACTGGGCCCAAGGCATCCTGTTATCCTAGTCTCCTGAGGATCTGGAATTATGAAGAATTAATGAATTTAAAGAGACAGAATGGTTAGAACAGTGCCTGGCCCTTTGTAAGCACTTTCTGTAAGTACAATCATTTCTCCATTTCCATAAGAGACTATTTTCTTTTCTTTTCTTCTTTTTTTTTTTTTTTTTTTTTTGGTTTTTCGAGACAGGGTTTCTCTGTGGCTTTGGAGCCTGTCCTGGAACTAGCTCTGTAGACCAGGCTGGTCTCGAACTCACAGAGATCCGCCTGCCTCTGCCTCCCGAGAGCTGGGGTTAAAGGCGTGTGCCACCACCGCCCGGCTTGGAGACTATTTTCTGGCAGAAAATTAGTGAATGTTCAAGCCCCTTCTGTAACATAGCATAGTATTTGCATCTAGTCTACACATATCTTCGCCTGTATTTTAGAACATTTCCAGGTTATCGTAATAATCTAATACCATGCAAATCATATGTAGACTTGTTTAGGAAATGACAAATAATACCCAGTACAGAAACAGTTTCTTTAAAAATTCATTTATGTCCATTGTGCATGTGCATGCCATGGCACATGCGTGAAGGTCGGAGGACAACTTTCAGGAGTGAGTTCCTTCCTTTTACCATGTGGGCCCCGGGGATCGAACTCAAATCATCAAGCGTAGTGGCAAGTTTCTTTACCCACTGAGCCATCTTGCTGGCCCCTAGATGCAGTTACTGTTTCACAGTTAATTGAGTCTGTAGATGTATCACCCATAGGTATACAGAGCCAACTGTGTAACAAGTATTGGATTAGAAATTTTACACCTTTAATCTCAGCAGAGAGAGAGAGAGAGAGAGAGAGAGAGAGAGAGAGAGAGACACCTGAGTTCTAGGCCAGCCTCATTGGTTATGATTATGCATACTTAAATTCCTAGCACTCAGGAGACAAAAATAGGAGAACTTTGCAAATTCAAGGCCAGTCTTAATTACATAGGCGATTTAAGCCATTTTAGATTATATAGCATTCTGCCAACATTCAGACTCTTGATCCTTGGAGTTTAACTCCTTAAAAGATGCTGCCACCACGCTGCCTAATATCTAAATGTTAGATTTTTTTTTTAACTGAAACAGACCGTGTGGACACATTGCTGGTCCTTTAGCCTTCAGGACTTGATCATCTCCTCTCCCTTAGTATATTTTATTTTTTTTTTTTTGATGCAGGTTTTCTCTGGGTAGCCCTGGCTCTACTGCCCAGCTTCTTTTTTTTTTAATTCTCAATGTTTTTATTGAGGTAGGACTTCACTCAGTAGCTCAGTCAGCCCCAACTCACAATGTAAATAGCTTGGGACTTGGAGCAGTTCTCCTGTCCCTGCCTCTCAAGGGCTGAGATTACAGGCGTGAGCTACCACACCCTGCAGGGGAATTTTATAGAATATTTAGGTACATTTTCTGTGGTTTTGGGTATCAAAACTTAGGACCTTGTGTGTGCTAGGTAAGTGATCTATAACTGAGTCTACCATCACATATTTTAGTTGAACAGTTTAGAATGGTTATTTAAAGGGGGTTGTGTTTTATTATTTAAAAAGTTTACAGTAACAAGGCCTGGTGATTCTCACATTTGATCCAGCTTGCTGGAGACAGAAGCAGGATTTCTGCAAGTTTTAGGTCAACCTGAGTTGCATATTGAGATGCTTCTCAAAAAAGAAAAAAAAATCTAGACTGGAGGGATGGCTTATTGGATAAAGTATGTTCCGTGTAAGCATGGAATCTAGAGTTCATATCCCTGGGACCCACGTAGAAACTGGGTAGGCATGGCAGCCCCTTGTTATCCCTGAACTCCAGAGGCAGAGACAGCAGTCCCCAGGGGCAAGCTGGCTAGGTAAGGCTAGCCAAATTAGTGAGCTCTGGGCTCAATGGAGAGACCCTTCGAGAGCAATTGAAGAAGACACGTGTGGTGAACTTTGGGCCTCCACAGCCACATGTGCCCCACACTTGCAGACACAACATGTCAGCACATGCATCCCATCCACACCTTCATGCAAAGTGAAAAAGCAAGCTATTAGTTGGCTATGGAGTTTAATATCTGTACTCCTACCACTTGGGATGCTGAAACAGGAGGATTGCTGGGAGTTTGACTCCAGTCTGGGATAAGAAGTGAGACCCTATCTCAGAAACTCAAAGTCCCAAACCCCAAAATTTAAAATTGCAAATGTTGGTGGCCAAGGTTTATAACCTTGAAGTAGCCTGCTTGCTGGGCAGTTGATTTATAAGCACGAGCAGAGGTATCCCGGTTGTGCGACACAGGGGAAAGGAGCTGGACACGATGTGGCTGGATGAATAAGCAATGAGTAAAAGGTTTGTGTATCTGGGAGATTGGACACATAAACCTGCAGATGGGAAAGTGCTGTCTGAGGTTACTTTGCAAAGTCCAGGACACTGTAGATGGTGTCCCCTTCAGTGTAGTCACATGAATGGATGAGATGGAGTGGAGATCCTTAGTGGTGAGGATATCAAGGAAGTGGGAAACCCAGGTTATTGGAAGGGCTACCTGGTGACCTCCAAGTGGATGGTGACTGAAATTGTTCGGAGAGCAAAGCTATGACCTGTGCATTTCAGTAAATGAAGAACAGACCCAGCGGAATGATAGGGACCCCGGAAGAGTAGCAGGGATTTTATTCTATTTTTTCCTTTTTAATGAGAGGGAACATATGATTCCAGTCTGACAAGGGTGAGTGAGGGACATCTAGCTGTACCTTCTGGTTTTAAGATTAATGTGCCAGAAAGAGCATCATCTTTTGAAAAATCTTAAAAGTAAAGCTTTGTGATTGGGAGAGTTGAGACCAAGGGCAGGAGGCTCAAGGCATCTGAGAGTGCTGGTCCTCTCTGTACAGGTGTTCCAGAGGCCATCAAGGTAAGTTAGATGCCAGGGGAGAGGAGGGAGCACACAAATGAAGTCACTGCAGCTATGTGTATACTAGGGCCATTTGGGTCCAGGACTACGGGAGGTGAGAGGTAAATTATGGGGTGATGGGAGAGTTGATGATTTCAGGCCTAGATGTTAGTAGATGCAGGCAATGGGCCTTAGAAACTAAATTTTTTTTAAAATCATGCAGCTCCATGATGTGGGAGTGTCATATATCAATCTGTTGATTTCATTGGTTAAGCAATAAAGAAACTGCTTGGCCCTGATAGGTTAAAACATGGGTGGGAGGATTAAACAGAACAGAATGCTGGGAGGAAGAGGGAAGTGAACTCAGAGCCATGCTCCCCTCTCCTGGACAGACTCGACAGCTCTGCTCTCTGTAGCAGAGACGTCATGCTCCCCTTGCCCGGGCAGGAGCGATCGATGAAGCTCCGACCCAGGATGGACGTAGGCTAGAATCTTCCCGGTAAGCGCACCTAGCAGTGCTACACACATGATTAGAAATGGGCTAAATTAATATGTGAGAATTAGCCTAGAAGAGGCTAGATAGAAATGGGCCAAGCAGTGTTTAAATGAATACAGTTTGTGTGTTGTTATTTCGGAGCATAAGCTAGCCAGGCGGCCGGGGTGCTGGGGACGCAGCCCCACCGCTCCCCTTATTACGACAGCTCCAGTTACTGGGTAGAGCCTGCCTCTGCCTCCCAAGTGCTGGGATCAAAGGCATGTGCCACCACTGCCCAGCATGACTCCTCTCTGTAAAACAAAAACAGGTCTTCAACATTCAGAATAAGAACTTTGACCTGCCTGCCAGCTACAAAGTGGTAGATGCTCTTCCTTAGGAACTGTAGTAAAGCCAGTGAGTGACCAGAGGCTCCCGAGTGTCGCAGTGCTGAGGAGTGACTATCTCTTCCCACTCTTCCTTCTCTTCTTTGAAGAAAATGCTGTCCTTTTTGAGTGATGTCTTTTCTTTCATTGCATGCCAGCATCAGTGCCAGGGCTCTGCCACCAAGGCAGTTAGGGAGATGGAAATTGTTGGGTAAAAATACTGAGACCTAGTTCATTCTAGCTGTCACATTCCTTTTGTTGCAACTAAGTGCTTTAGAAGTGAGGGAGACCTGAGTTCTAGTTTGTTGTTTTCAAACAGGGAAATTGCCTGGGCTTGGTAGCTCACTCCTGTATTCCCACCACTTGGGAGGCTGAGGCAGGAAGATTGCTACAAGTTCAAGACCAGCCTGGGCTACATTATGAGACTTTGTTTTCATCCCCTCCCCCCAGGGAAATTTGCTACATTCACATTTGTTATGGCAACTATATTCTGGTCAAACATCTACTATCACATGCATTTATTATTTTCTCTTACTTCCTACTTTTTGCTAAACTAATAGCATGATTAAACTTGTCTTTCTCCATTGTGCTACCAAAGTCAAATAATACCTTTTTTAATCCTACCCATTCAGAGTGAGACTTCTAGCACTTTTTTTTTTTTGGTTTTCCGAGACAGGGTTTCTCTGTAGCTTTGGTTCCTGTCCTGGAACTAGCTCTTGTAGACCAGGCTAGCCTTGAACTCACAGAGATCCACCTGCCTCTGTCTCCCGAGTGCTGGGATTAAAGGCATGCTGCACCACCGCCCAGTTTGTAGCACATTTTATGCATTTGGTTTTCCAGTGTCCATCTCTCGATTCTTGGAGTTTATTGAAATTGATGTCTTAGAACTGCACTAGTTCCTTACGTTATTCTTCTTGGTTTTAAGTTATAGTTCTAAGCTACATCACCAATTTTCTTAGGTCTATTAATAAGTTTTAAGCAATTTCCTGTTTAGCTGTATTTTGTTTTCTTTGCTTTGCAGCCTTTATTCTGATTTAATTTTGGTTTTTTTATCTTCTACTCCTCCCCTTTTCCTCCTCTTCCTCCCCCATGCTCACTTGGGCCTGGAACATGTTGAATACATTTTCTGCCATAGCCTGTTAGGTTTAGTTTTTGGCAGTAGTTTTGCCAGAAAGGAAATACTTTTACATAACAGTGATCAGATAGAGGATTTTGGCTTGGGACATGGTCAGTCCCTTTCCCCAGTGATGTGGGAGTGTCATATATCAATCTGTTGATTTCATTGGTTAAGCAATAAAGAAACTGCTTGGCCCTGATAGGTTAAAACATAGGTGGGTGGAGTAAACAGAATAGAATGCTGGGAGGAAGAGGAAGTGAGCTCAGAGACGCCATGCTCCCCTCTCCCTGGCAGACACGTGATAGCTCTGCTCTCTGAGACACATGTGATGAAGCTCCCACCCAGGATGGACGTAGGCTAGAATCTTCTCGGTAAGTGCACCTTGGGGGTGCAACACAGATGATTAGAAATGGGCTAAATTAATATGTGAGAATTAGCGGAGAAGAGGCTAGATATAATGTGCCAAGCAGTGTTTAAAAGAATACAATTTGTGTGTTGTTATTTCAGGGCATAAGCTAGCCAGGCGGCCGGGGTGCTGGGGACGCAGCCCCGCCGCTCCTATTACTACACCCCAGGACTTATTGAATATCCTAATCTAATGCTTTAACCTTGAAACTTTTGGCATGCCCATATGATGTCTCAAGAAATTCTATACTTTGAAATTTTGTTATGTGCACAAAATTATTGAAAATTAACTTTGGTTTTTGTGTTTAAGGTATATGTGAAACATAAATTAATTTTATAGTTTAACTTGGCTCACTTCCCCAAAGATTAGCCCAGACTGGTCTTGAGTTTACTGTATTAGCCAATGAGTAACCCTGAATTTCTACTTCTTTTTTTTTTTTTTTGGTTTTTCGAGACAGGGTTTCTCTGTGGTTTTGGAGCCTGTCCTGGAACTAGCTCTTGTAGACCAGGCTGGTCTCGAACTCACAGAGATCTGCCTACCTCTGCCTCCCAAGTGCTGGGATTAAAGGCGTGCGCCACCACCGCCCGGCTGAATTTCTACTTCTTCTGCCTCCACCTCCTAAGCGCTGATATTACAGATGTGCATCACCTTACCGGTTATTTTTGTGGTGTTAGATAAAGAGCCCAGGGCTTTGTGCGAGTGAGCCACATCTGCAACTCTTCTCTCATGATATCTCATTGTTTGTATGTAAACATTCCAAACTAGAAAAATCAAAATCTAAAACTCTTCTGATGAAAAGTGTTTTGGATGAGAGACATAACTCCTCAACCATGGTGGCTTCTCTGTTAACTATACTGGCTTCTCTGTCAACTGTACTGACTTCTTTGTCAGCTGTAGTGGTTTTTCTGTTGTTTTCAGAGCCTGCTTTTCTTTTGTTTGTTGGGAAATTTTATTTGCATACTTGTACATGTAAAGCTTTTCTCTTTCTTTCTTTCTTTTTTTTTTTTTTGGTTTGTTGAGACAAGGGTTTCTTAGTGTAGTCCTGGCTGTCCTGGAACTTGCTCTCTAGACGAGGCTGCTTCAAACTCAAAACATTGGGTAGGTGGGTGATAACTCTTGTTTTTCTTCTCTCTCTTCTTACAGAGAACAAAAAACCAGGTAAAGGTTCCAAAGGCTGTAAGAAGGTAAGTGGGCCTTACCTTCAGGTGAAGTATGTGCATTGTTGGGTCAGGTCAGTAGTTATCGGGTGAGTCTGGACAAAGCCCCCCTCATTGGGATAAACACATCTGGCTTTATCTCCCACTCATGGCTGCAACTGTCACCTGCATATATGAAGTTCCTTCCAAAAGCTATCTACTGCTTTGTGCTTGGGTTACTTATTAGGGGTTATTGCCATCCCTGTATATTTTGGTATCAAATTCAGGGCCTTGAGCATACCAGACAAGTGATCTACCACTGAGCCACATATCCTCAGCCCCCAAGTTCTCAGCTCTTGGTACTCTGGGCCCCAAGACTTCATTTTGGGAGCTATTTGTCAGGAAAGGGTTCCCTTTGGCATTGAGCAATTGTCTTGGCTGCTTCTGTCCCCTCCATTTCCTGCCAGTCCTTACCTGGCTATTGGAGAAGTGTCTTGCCCTTGCTAGATGAGCAGATTTCTGGAGAGAACCCCCATCCCGACAATATTCCCTGCTCCTCAGATTTCCGTGGATTCATTAACGGCTCAATTTTTTTTTCTTGTTTGCTAACTGGCCTGCATGGCAGAATGGGAAGAAAGCGGCACCCCGACCACCCTCTGCTCCCCAGGTTGTTCACGGTAATGATCATGCCAGCCGAGAGGCCGAATTAAAGAAGAAAAGGGTGAGCCTTTTGTCTTGGCGATGGCCTGGTTTGAGTGTCCGAGCTGCATAAGTGTTGTGCGGAAGGGCGGGGCTTCTTGATGCTCTTGTGGTTGGGCTTGGGAAAGTGAGCCGAGTTACATTGATAGTGCTTTTAAGTTTTACGTTTGCTCGCCTTGTTCTCCCTCCCAGTTCATTGCTGCCTGGCTGATGTTCTCAGTGTTCCACTCAAACCTCTGCTGCTGGCCTCCCTCTGCACACCCTCTGGCACATTTGAGATCATGCTTCCCTTAAAGCCCTCTCATTTGGACTTTGAACTCTCCCCTTCTTGGCTGTTGCCTTCCTCTGTGATTAGTCCTGTGCAGTTTCTTGCTGCTTTTGTTCTGTTTTGTTGGTTGGTTGAGGCAGGGTCTTGCATTGTTGCCCAGGCTGGTCTTGAATGCCTAGGCTCATGATCTTTCCCCCTCCAACCCTGAGGAGCTGGGCAACAGGTGTTTGCCATTGTAGCAGCTGGTACAGCCTATGACCTTGTCCTTGTTTGGACTTAAGTGTTTTCCGTTTTAGAATGCTTCTCTCTCTGCTTCCCAGGTAATCTTTTTATTTTTCTTTTATTCTTTCCGATTTTTAGTAGTTTAAAACATATGCCTTTTTTCTTTATTTGTGGTGGAGGGAGCGGTGGGAGCGGTCAAGTGCGGCTGCCCCTCCCACCAGCATGGTGAGATCTGTAGCGATCAGAGGACAGCTTGTGGCAGTCAGTTTTCTCAGTCACCATATGTTCTAGAGATTGAACTCAGGGGGTCAGGCTTGTGTGGCAAGACTTTTTACCCAAGGAGCTACCTTATTAGCCCCCCTTTTTGTTTTTTGAGACTGGTTTGCTGTATAGTTCTGGTGGCCTAGAGTTCACTGTGTTGTCCTGGCTGGCCTTGACCTAATGGCAATTCTCCTGCTTCAATCTCTCAAGTTGCTGGATTTACAGCTGTGTGCCACTACGCCCAGCTCTTCTTTTAATTTTTTTTCCTCTCTCCATTCCTTAGTTTCTCTGTCTTTTTTCTCAAATATTCTTGTTCTCCTGACTGTCCTGTTCTTGTATCCCCACTCCTTCCTGCCTCTGGACAGCAGACCTACTCGGCTCCAGTGACAGTATGTGTTTGTTTCTCAGGTTGACGAGATGAGGGAGAAGCAACAGGTTGCCCGGGAGCAAGAGCGACAAAGGCACAGGACCATGGAGAGCTATTGTAAGGATGTCCAGAAACGTCAGGAGGAGTTTGAACATAAGGTAAGAGAGCAGCTCTTGCTGGCCTGTGCGATTGGAGTGGATTGCAGTTTTACTGTAGAGGAAGAAATGGCTGTATAGTGAGACCCTGTCTCAAGAAGAAAAGAGAAGTAGAGGAAAGGGATGAGTGCAGAGAAGGAGAACTGGGAGAGAGAGGTAAGATAGGAGGGAGGAAAAGGGGCCTTCTGTAGCATGCCTGTGACCACACATGTAGGCAGTGCCTCTCCCAAATTTGAGCCTAAAGATGGAGCGGCTGTGGGGTAGGGAGCAGGAGAGGTATGACTGGGGAATATGGCAGGAGGGACATATGAAGGGGAGACTGAGAGACAGAGAGTGGATGCAGATTATCTGGCCTTCCTGGGGTGACTTTTCCCCCTTTCTGGTCTTCATTGTCCCACAAACACGATGTGCATGTGCAGCTCCAACACCTCTGCTGACTTGCACTCAAGGTTTGGTTTCCTGCTCTCATGTGCCTCATGGATTGTTTTTTTCACACCTTACTCTTATCCTGCCTTTTCCACACTCTTGTGACCAAGCAGGCCTTTGACTGCTGCTCAAATACACATACACACATCCCATAATCTGTCAACCTTTGTTCTAGTTTCCTAGCATTTTGGGTTGTTGGCAGTGCTACTTTGAAAAATTAAAATTAATTATTATAGTGTGTATGTGAGAGAGGGGGAGTGAGAATCTGGATATGAGAGAGAGAAACTGCATGTGTGTGTGAGAGAGAGAATCTGCATGTGTGTGTGTGAGAGAGAGAGAATCTGCATGTGTGTGTGTGAGAGAGAATCTGCATGTGTGTGTGAGAGAGAGAATCTGCATGTGTGTGTGTGTGAGAGAGAGAATCTGCATGTGTGTGTGAGAGAGAGAATCTGCATGTGTGTGTGTGAGAGAGAGAGAATCTGCATGTGTGTGTGAGAGAGAGAATCTGCATTGTGTGTGTGAGAGAGAGAGAATCTGCATGTGTGAGAGAGAGAATCTGCATGTGTGTGTGAGAGAGAGAATCTGCATGTGTGTGTGTGAGAGAGAGAATCTGCATGTGTGTGTGTGAGAGAGAATCTGCATGTGTGTGTGAGAGAGAATCTGCATGTGTGTGAGAGAGAGAGAATCTGCATGTGTGTGTGATAGAGAGAATCTGCATTTGTGTGTGAGAGAGAGAATCTGCATGTGTGTGTGAGAGAGAGAGAATCTGCATGTGTGTGTGTGAGAGAGAGAATCTGCATGTGTGTGAGAGAGAATCTGCGTGTGTGTGTGTGAGAGAGAGAATCTGCATGTGTGTGTGGTGAGAGAGAGAGTATCTGCATGTGTGTGTGTGAGAGAGAATCTGCATGTGTGTGTGAGAGAGAGTATCTGCATGTGTGTGAGAGAGAGAGAATCCGCATGTGTGTGTGAGAGAATCTGCATATGTGTTTGAGAGAGAGAGAATCTGCATGTGTGTGTGAGAGAGAATCTGCATGTGTGTGAGAGAGAGAGAATCTGCATGTGTGTGTGAGAGAGAGAGAATCTGCATGTGTGTGTGTGAGAGAGAGAATCTGCATGTGTGTGAGAGAATCTGCGTGTGTGTGTGTGAGAGAGAGAATCTGCATGTGTGTGTGGTGAGAGAGAGAGTATCTGCATGTGTGTGAGAGAGAATCCGCATGTGTGTGTGAGAGAATCTGCATATGTGTGTGAGAGAGAGAGAATCTGCATGTGTGTGTGAGAGAATCTGCATGTGTGAGAGAGAGAATCTGCATGTGTGTGTGTGTGAGAGAGAATCTGCATGTGTGTGTGAGAATCTGCATGTGTGTGAGAGAATCTGCATGTGTGTGTGAGAGAGAGAATCTGCATGTGTGTGTGAGAGAATCTGCATGTGTGTGTGTGAGAGAGAGAATTTGCATGTGTGTGTGTGTGAGAGAATCTGCATGTGTGTGTGAGAATCTTCATATGAGAGACAATGTGTGTGTGAGAGAGAGATAGAGAGAAAATTTGCATATGAGAGAGAATCTGTGTGTGTGTGAGAGAGAGAGAGAAAGAGAGAATGCATGTGGATAGAGAAAGAATCTGCATGTGAGGGAGAATTTGTGTTTGTGTTTGTTTCTGTGTGTGTGTGAGAGAGAGGGAGGGAGGGAGGGAGGGAGGGAGGGAGGGAGAAAGAAGATGCATGTGCCACACATGTGTATGGAGGTCTTTATGGAGTTAGTTGTATTGTTCCACCATGGTTCCAGGAACTGAACTCAGATCAACAGACTTCACAGCAAGTGCTCCCATTCAGTGCTACTTTTAGGTGTTCTGGGACTCACAAGTATCCTTTAGCTTCCTGTGGTTTTCAAAAGCCTTGTTGGTTTTCATGTATCTTCCTTCCTTCCTTTCTTATCTTCTTTTCTTTGTTCCCTTCCTTTTTGTATCTACTTGCCCCTTATTCCCCTAGACTATTATTCTCATTTTTTTCTTCTTTAGGAGGAAGTTTTGCAGCAACTAAATATGTTTCCTCCGTTGGATGATGAGGCCACACGGAGGGCCTATTACAAGGAGTTTCGTAAGGTAGGAGGGCTCATTTCTTCTTTTTTCTTTGTTTTGTTTTTAGATAAGGAATTGTTCTTTATCCTAGGCTAACCCAGAACTCACTGTGTACCCCAGACTGGCCCTGAGCTCCGTGTAGCCCTCTTGTCTCACCAGCACAAGTATTAAGATGATAGACTGAGCTACAGAACAAGTATTCGTTTCTTAAAGCCCTTTGCTGAGAACTCCATTGCATTTTCGTTCCTTTGTCTCTGTTTTTTTCTGACCGAAATGGAGACCATTACATGTCTGTTCTCAGCCTTCATCTGCATCTTCTGTCCTGCAGGTGGTAGAGTACTCTGATGTGATTCTGGAAGTTCTGGATGCTAGAGATCCGCTGGGCTGCCGCTGTTTCCAGAGGGAGGAGACTGTCCTTCGGGCAGAGGGCAACAAGAAGCTAGTGTTGGTCTTGAATAAGATTGGTAGGTTTTGGATGGGTTGGCTAAGGCAGGGAAGGGGTTTAAACTAAGGCTAGCTCAGATTAGTCACTGAGACCCAGCAACTTAGAGGCATTCAGAATAGTCATTCATAGGAATTCTTGCTCAAATTTCCAAAGCCAGAAGTATTGTCTGGTATATACAGAATGTAGCAAGGGTTGGGGGTAGAGTTTGAGCCTGTTTGCCTTTCAGTCCCCTTTCCTTGCAATTTTGAGCCTGTTCAATGTCTGGTCATTCTTGGAGATCTGTCCCCACAAACTGGAACTCAAAGGTTGGGACAAGAGAGAACACATGGCTTGGGACTCATTGAGGTGTTCGTCTTATCCCACTTTTGCTATTTTCTTCTTGATATCAGATAGGTCATGTCACTTGTGAGAACTTCTATTTCTCTAATAGTAAACAGAGGCATGACCATCTTGGTCTCCCAGGTTTATTGCGAGAATTAATGAAGAACTTGGTGTATAATCAGCACTTCACAAATCCCAGCCATTCTTAGTGATGCTTTTTCTTGACACTTAGCCAAGCCTAGAATGATTAGGAAAGAGAATGGGAGTAAGATATTCGGGCACCTTAACATGAAAGGAGGATATCTGGGGCAAAACTACTTCTTTACAGCCGGGCGATGGTGGAGCACGCCTTTAATCCCAGCACTCGGGAGGCAGAGGCAGGCGGATCTCTGTGAGTTCGAGACCAGCCTGGTCTACAGAGCTAGTTCCAGGGTAGGCTCCAAAGCCACAGAGAAACCCTGTCTCGAAAAAGCAAAAAAAAAAAAAAAAAAAGCTACTTCTTTACATAGTTTCTTCAAGAAAGTAAGCCTTCTCAGGTAGGGCCAATTGGCCCTGTGGATCAAATTGTCCTTTGTAGCGCCATCCTGGGGACTAGGCAGGGACAGTGAGGGCAAGAGGAGAGATCTGTTGGTAGGAGGTAGGCCTAGACATGGGTATGTGGCTTGAGGGAAGCCATGGAATAATGATCTTTTTTTCTTTTTCTTTTTTAGCTAGACGTATAATTGAAGGAATAATGTTCTTACAAGCCCCATCTGTTTCTGTCTTTCCCAGACCTGGTTCCCAAGGAGATTATAGAAAAATGGCTGGATTACCTTCGAAATGAGCTGCCAACTGTGGCTTTCAAGGCCAGCACCCAGCATCAGTTCAGAAACTTGGTAAGCTTGGAGTCGGGGTATCTAGCCTCTTTCATGTGGTTTGGGACCAAGGCTGTAGGTGGTAAGATTTCGATTGGGCTTTCGACTTTGAGGTGTTTTCTCTAGTGGGTGACTTGTTAATGTTTATGTTACTTTACTACTTCCTATATTACCTCTCTTCACAGGATACAATGGTTTTTTTTCCAGCTGTGAGGATACAATAATATATATTGTCTATAGGCAATCTGGGAAATAGAATTAGCTGCTTGTTAACTCTTCAAAATACTATTCATTTTCCCCTCTTTAAAACAAGGCATAGGAGACTGGGTAGATGATGGCTCAGTGGTTAAGAGCACTTGCTTCCAGAGGATCCAGATTCAGTACCCAGCACCTACATGGTGACTCAGTCATCCGTAACTCCAGTTCCAGGGGATTGGACACCCTCTTCTGATCTATCCAGACAATAGGCATGCATGCAGGCAAAGCACTCATCCACATACAAATAAATAAATCTTTTTGTTTTGTTTTATTTTTTTTTCTCTGTGTAGCCCTGACTATCCTAGAACTCACTCTGTAGACCAGGCTGACCTCAAACGCAGATAGTCCACCTGCCTTTGCATCCTGAGTGTTGGGATTAAAGGCATGCGCCCCACCATGGCTGTAATAAATAAATCTTATATAAATTTTTAAAAAGAAACTCACATAAGGCGCAATACTTCCTATTGATGTCAACATAGAAATACTTGTAAAATATTAAAGTAAGAGTAATAATTGTTTGGGGGAGGTAAATTGGTTACTGGGGGACAAGTTTTCAGTTTGCACTACTTTTTACCGTGCTTGCCTATGTAGCCAGGCATTCTGGCACTGAGCCCCTATTTTCCAGTTCTTTTTTATTATTATTTAAGTGGCGTTTATGTTAATCTACTTTCATGCATCTCCTTGACATGCAGACAAGTGTTGGTGCGGCTGAGTACTGAGCGGTGGTGTGGCTGTGTCATGCATAGGTCTATGCTTTTGCTATTTTCCTAGACACTGATAAATTATCCTTTATAATAGCTGTACCAAGTAATCCTCTTCCCCCTTGAGTAGATGGATGTATGAAGAGGACCTCTTTCCCTTCACTCTTGCCAACATAATATGTCTACTTATAATTTTATCGCTCCCCCCATAGCAAAAATCAAAGTAGGGAGGTTGGAATGGCCTTATCCTATGTGAGGGGTCAAGGGAAGATGAGCTTTGGGCCGGGCACCCTCTCTGCACCGGTGGAGAGCTAAGGCTTTCCATTTGTGTATCTATGACCCCAACGCCCTAGGAAGGAAATAGGCTTTTCCTCATAATCCTGTGAATGAGAGAACTAGAAATGAAGCCTAGCGTGCCTCAAGCTGGGATATCTTCACAGCTCTCCGTGAAAAAGACACAACTTAATCCCGGCACTTAGAAGGGAGAGGTGTGTGGATCTCTGTGAGTTCTGGCCCAGTCTGGTCTACAGAGTTAGTTCCAGGCAGCCAGGACTGTTACACAGAGCAATCCTGTCTCAAAAAACAAAACAAAACCAAAAAAGACACAACAACTGGAGCAAGAAAGAGCTGGGATGTAGTTGCTGTGAGAAGCCTGTGAGGTCAGTGATCCCAGGGTAGTTCTGAATATTCCACTATAGCCTGGAAATTTGGGCTTAGCGTCTTTTTCCCAACGGATGCCCATTTGGTAATATACCTCATTTTTCAGACTCAGTGTAAAGTTCCAGTGGACCAGGCTTCTGATTCGCTGTTGAAAAAAAGCAGAGCCTGCTTTGGAGCTGAAAACCTCATGAGGGTCTTGGGAAACTATTGCCACCTGGGGGAAGTGCGCACCCACATTCGAGTCGGGGTTGTAGGTAAGGCCACACAAATAAGTTTGGGGCACACGCCTTCATTGGGCAAGGAAGGAAGGAAAGGGTTTGGAATTTTGTGGTGTTTCTTTGGGGAAGAGAGGAGGGGTTCAGGAGTGGTTTTGCAATTTGCAGTTTGGCTAGTGGGCATTGGGAAGGCATATTCAGGTTCACCACCGTTAAAAGCAAATACAATGCCAAAACACTCCAGACTGTTGGAGCTATGGGAGGGAGAACACCGAGACCCACAGAAGGAAACAAGGCGGGGCTGAGGCTTAAGCATGGTGGGTCTTTCTGAAACTGCAGTACTGTTGAAGGGAATGAAAGGGGAGTGGGGAAATTAAGAGGCAGGGAAAAATCGGGGAGGGGAAGTGTCTCAACTTGAGAAATTGAAGAGAACTTGACAGAAAATGTATAAACACCACACACCTGAATAGACAACAAGACAAAAAGGCCAGGGAGACTGATGAGTAATTGGAAAAGACAAATTAAAGTGACAGGCACAAAGAGAGTGAAGGACACAGCAGCTCAGAGAATGCCCAAAGTGGCAGTAAAGATGAGTACGTGGGCAGACCTGGTGACCCAGACCTGCAGTGGTAGCTGCTTTGGAAGATGGAAAGTTTGAGTTTAAGGCCAACCTTAGGTAACTTAGTGAGACCTTGATTCATAGAAAAGTAAAAGCAGCTGAGAGTGTTGCTCAATGGTGGAAGGCCTCCCTAGTTTGTGTGAGACCCTGGGCTCAGGGTGATAGGAAACAGCTAAAGTGTGTACAGAGACCTGTAGAAGGGTGCTTCAGAACAGACGCTTGGGATCGGCACTTGCGTAGATATGCATCACCGCAAAAGAACATTGCAGGAATGGAGACAGTTTGAAAAGAAGCTTGATATACACACAGAGGAGCATCCAATACAGGCCTATGCACACAGACAGATCTTAAGAACATGTAAATCCCTATGCATGGAGTCGTGTGCACACCTGGGAGGGCCATATCTGCAGGCTTAGACAGGCTCAGGCAGCATGTGCGGACCAGCTTCTTCTGCACTCACACTGTCTCTATTTCCCCACAGCAGATAAAGCCTCGGGGACACCACATGTGCCCAGATAACCGTAACCCTCTGAAACAACCTGAAATCGGGGAGAAACAGGCATGCCTGTGATGAGGCAGAAATGTCTGTAGAGAGAGAATTAAAGACATAGTTAGGGAGGCACACAAAGCCAGCCAAGACCATAATGAAAGACACATGAGCACATTTCTATAGACAGACTCCAGAGAGAAGGAGCATAGTAACCATGTAGTCAGGAGTGGAATGGTGGGGTGGAGAGAATCAGAACGAAAAAGAGCTTTTTAGATGCATAGACTCAGAGCTGTGGGGCCAGTTCACTGAGAGGGCCAACGAAAGGGAAGAGCAGTCCAGGAGACACACAGGCGTGTGTAGCCTCCCAGGTCAGGACCACGGATCTTCCCAGGCACACATGTGAGGGAATGGTACATAGTGGTAAACTTTAGTACACTAGAGGACAGTAAGATGATGTAGGGGAGAGAGACTCACAGCCGCAGCCCAACAGTGCTGCACGGGTGCTCAGATACAAAGATTCCACAGGCAAAGTCAGCTGTGTGGAGAGAGGGGCATCTGGAGAGTAACCCCTTCTCCCCAGGGGAGTTACATGTCAGAACAGGTGTCTGTTTCAACACTTGACCACCTTCTGTTGGGTCATGTCTGTGAGGCTTTATATGGCGCGCCTGTCCCGGCTGCTTGTGGCTGGAGGTGCACTGCACATCTCGAGAGAGGGCCCTGGATGCCGAGAATGCCAACAAGAGGGGAGAACTGGAAGTTCCCTTTAGAGGCTTGGCCAGGGCCTGGCGTGGGAAGACAAGAGGCCAGGCTCTACTTCTGGCTTGCCGTGACCTGGTTACGGCCTCTGCCAGGCCCTTTCTGAAGCAGGCTGGCCTGAATTTTGAGTACTTCCTGCCCTGAGTACTTTGCTCCTACATTGCAGGCCTTCCCAATGTGGGGAAGAGCAGCCTGATCAATAGCCTGAAGCGCAGCCGTGCGTGCAGTGTGGGAGCTGTTCCTGGCGTCACAAAGTAAGATCTGCGAGCTTCCCAGTGCTTCACAAGTCCTTGCCATTACCCATCCATCAACGCCCACATGCCTTTAGCCCTTGCCACTTTCCTAATTGTGGACTATCCTCTGATCCATACCCTGGGTTTAGGAATCCTACTAATAGCGCTCATTCACCTGGCCGGCCCATCCCAGGTGTGGGCTGTTGGGTCCTTCATAACAACTGCAAAAAGCGCTGTTGCTCAGCTGAAGCAACAGAGTCATAACCTTGCCTGACATCCTGCAGCTAAGCCCCCAGAGAAAGGGACTGGGACTGTAGCACCTCAGATCCCCCCGGTCCACATCTTTCCACTTCACCTAAGATCCCCCTTCCCCTCTCTTCCTTTACCTCCCTCCAGCCTTTCCAGGCCCAACATTTGTGACCAAGTACCAGGTACATCTGGGCCTTGTTTTTCTCCAGATTCATGCAGGAGATCTTCTTAGACAAGTACATCAGGCTGCTGGATGCTCCAGGCATTGTCCCAGGACCCAATTCAGAGGTGGGCACCATCCTGCGGAATTGCATCCATGTGCAGAAGCTGGCAGACCCCGTGACCCCAGTGGAGACCATCCTTCAGCGCTGCAACCTGGAGGAGGTAAAGAGCAGGGTCCCCAGTGGGTGGCCTAGCCCCTACTTCAACAGCTGGTCCTTCACTCACTCTCATGACTCTTCCTCCAATTCTGCTAGATTTCCAGCTATTACGGTGTCTCAGGATTCCAGACTACTGAGCACTTTCTGACCGCAGTGGCCCACCGCTTGGGAAAGAAGAAGAAGGGAGGCATATACAGTCGTGAGGAGGCTGCCAAAGCTGTCCTGGCTGACTGGGTGAGGTGAGGAAGGGGTTGAGTAGGATGTGACATTCATTCATTGATGCCGATGGGACAGCCTGACTTCCTGGGTCTCAAGGTAGGGGACAGCCAAAGAACTAGTACTCTGTGCCTAGTGGTTATTGAGCGGTTCAACACATTGCTCGGAAAGGCATTTTCTCTGTTCTCGTCCTACGTCCTCTTCTGGTAGGCTATTTGTTCTCAGTGATGTCACTACTGACCTCCCCTTCTCTCCCAATACAGTGGGAAGATCAGCTTCTATACACCACCGCCACCTACTCACACTCTGCCCGCCCATCTCAGTGCTGAGATTGTGAAGGAGATGACTGAGGTCTTTGATATCGAAGATACTGAGCATGCCAATGACGACACCATGGAATGTACGTGTGAATGGGTGGGGCCGCTGGTTTTGTCTAAGGGAGCCCAGACCTGATGTCAGATCACACATTTCATCTCTCCTTTCCTGGGGCTACTTGGGGCCTGGTATTAAATTTTATTCATTGTCCTGTAAGTTAGAAAAATTCTAGTTTGGGCAATGAGAGTAGTGGTGGTGGTGAACATCTGGTAGATTGGCTGACTAACTAGTACTCCTTTAGGTTCTTTGGAAGTGAGACTTTCTTTCTTTTGGGTTGAAATAACCCTTTAAAAAGTCCTTTATGTGTGGGGTGTGTGGGGGGTGTTTTTTGTTTGTTTTTTCTAGACAGGGTTTCTCTGTAGCTTTGGAGCCTCTCCTGGAACTCACGCTGTAGACCAGGCTGTCCTCAAACTCACAGAGATCCTCCTGCCTCTGTGCCCCCCCCCTCGCCGCCGCCGCCCCGAGTGCTGGGATTAAAGGCGTGCGCCACCACTGCTCGGCAAGAGTTTGAGTGTGTGTGTGTGTGTGTGTGTGTGTGTATTTGAGTGTTAGATTAAAAGCTCAAAAACTCTTTCTCGGCTGTGTATGTTTGCACAGGTCTGTAATTCCAGCCAAATCAAATGACCAAATGGTCCTTCTCCCTATTCTATTGCCCTGGGCTTTAAAAAAAGCAATGTTGAGGATTAGACCTAGGGCTTTGTGCTAGGCAAGTGCTCAGTAGGTTTCTGCCTTTGATACTGCATGTAGCCCTGGCCTGTGGTTCCTCCACTCTCTCCTCTGCCCAGGGCCCTCTAGTCATACGCTTAGGAACAGCTGAGAACGCTCTGTTTGGCCTAAAGTCTTATTCTGTTTTTCCTGGAGGCCAGTCATTTCCTCCTCTGGGTCCTCTGAAGTCCTGGATTACAAATGAGGACAAGAAGACTTGCCTACTTTCTAGTTTATTCCGTGTGTGACTTCAGGCAAGTCAGCCCTCTTGCTGAGCTTTCATTTCTGGTTCTGTCAAGTGGGCAGTTGAGAGGGATTCGAACTCATGTTCTACTGGTGACGCTTGACCCTGGCTGGATTCGCATATGGGGAAGAGGTGAGGGTCAAAAGCGTGGAGGAGTCGGTCCTGGCGTTGGATCTTGAAGTGTGAGCAGGAATTAGGACAGTCAGTGAAGTGGCTGAGATAAAGTTGGTAGAAGTAGATAGGAGGGTAGGCATGCAATAGGCATGTCTGAGGGTTGTGGTGGAGGCCAGTTTTAAGCAAGGAGTGGGAGGGAGGAGGCAAGAAGCCTGGTTCTAGGAAGGGAATTCTCATGGCTCTCTCTCTTCATCACATTTGAACCAGAATATGGTCGGTGCCTTCTGCTGGATTTCACCTTAATCCTATGAATAAGAGTTTGGGAATTCCCTTTTCTCATCTGAGCAAGCCGAAGCTTTAAGGCTAAGTCCCAGCAGGCTATGGTCCTATAAATTCATACTTTTATTTTGTTTTTTATTTTGAGACAGGGTCACGACATAGAGCCCAGGATGGCCTTGAACTCATGATCCTCTTGTTTTACCCTCCTAAATGCTGGCATTACAGGTATGGATTAGATTCATGCTTTTAAATCTTTGTCATGCTGACGCATTCCTTTAATCCCAGCACTCAGGAGGCAGAGGCAGGTGGATCTCTGTGAGTTCGAGGCCAGCCTGTTCTACAAGAGCTAGTTCCAGGACAGGAACCAAAAAGCTATGGAGAAACCCTGTCTCGAAAAATCCAAAAAAATAAAATCTTTGTCATGTAGCCTCTCAGCAAAAACAACTTCACTCACTCCATTCCCCTGGTGGTACCCTCATGTCGTTTCTGCTTAGGCCTGATCAGAGGACTGGCAGGCAGCAAAGGGGGATCCAGGATCCTAACAGTGGTGTTTGTGTTAAAGGCTTGGCCAATGGAGAAGCCGATGAGCTGTTGGGTGACACGGACCCAGAAGAAATGGACTTCAAGTGGCTCCATTCTCCGTTGGTGAAAATAGCAAATGCTATTGAAAATAGAGCCACCGAATACAAGGTACCTCTTCACATCCTCACGGTAGCTGTCTCCTGCACAGGCTTCTGGGAGGCAGGCACTTCCTTCTGTGTCTCTCCTAGGGTAGTGAGGTCTGAGTGGCTCACACACTTCCTTTGGACTTGTGAATTCTTGACCCAGTGTGTAACGGCGTAAATGAATGCAGACAGAGTGTAAATATATATATATATATATAGCTTTAATGTAGAAATAGACTTACAGAACCACCGTTCCCGCGGAGACCAGGAAAGCAGAAGCGAGAAGCTCGGAGCTTGCTCGCCAAATTTATAGGCAGACATTAGCCCGAGGCGAACACGCCTCTTAAGGGGCGGGACTTATCCCTACATCTCCCCTTTTTGTCTAAATAAGACAGAACTAAACCAAATACAACTACATACAATAACAACAAATAATAAATACAACAAACAATATTGAGAACAAAAGCTTTGCTAAACATTCTATCTCAAGAAGTCCAAATAATGTAAAGAGTAACTACAATTATATAATCTTCAACTCAGTCAAAGATCTGAGAAGGGAATAAACACTACTCAACAAACGAGATATATCCAAAATGTGCAACAATTGACAGAGACAACTGACTACCTGGGCAATCACCCAAAGTCTCGTTTGCAACGTTGAGTCAACCAATTTTGGCTAAGGCCTAACATAACTGACATACCATTATTAAAGGCAAGGAACTTTTCAAAACTATCTTACCCTGTCTTGGCAGGATATGACAGTCCTGTTTTACCCATTGATGCACGCTCTGTATCTGTGTCAGTGGTTGAGGTATGGGCATTTGTTTGCCCAAAGGCCAGTTCTGCCAAATAGAAAGGCTCCAGGTGGAGTGTTTTTGGTGCTCAACATTCTCTCGGGAATAGAGCGGTGTTGCCAGGAGCAATTGTGTCTCACTATCACGAAACTCTGAGTTAGATTAAAGGCCATTTTCTACAGCTCTTTGAAGAGGTTGAAGATTATCTATCTATACTGAGTATAATCTCTATATATCTAAAGAACCTGATTAGTCTAATTACAAATGACAAACTTAGATGACAATTAGTCTATATAATTCTCAATATCTATCTAACTTAACGACTAAGACAATAAACGACTGTGAAACAAATGAGGACAATGACCTCCAAATATAAACAATGTACAAATATACATTGTAGTAGGTAAATATATATCAATACACAAATATTATATAAGTATCTTAATCAGAGGTAGAAATGTACACTGCAATATGGTAAATATATACAATATATATATATATATATATATATCAATACAATATATGTCAATACATAAAAATGTTTTAAACAGAGGTAGAAACATGCATGCGTACAATAGTCAATATAATTTAACTTTGTTTCATTATACAAGAATTGATACCAATATATTTGTCTAAAAGCAGTAACTCACAATTATAAATCTATTATCCCATCATTCCCTCTTTTTTTTTTCAAAATGATCCTTGAGCTTATAAAATTCCTCTCCCAACCCTCAATCATATACTAATTATAATCAACCCCTAAATGATGTCCCTAAACCCAAGGGCAAACTTTACTGGGAGAGAGGACGTCGTTCTCTAGAATTACTTCCAGCTGTCATAGGGGCGACGTTCTTTCTGGGGGATCCTGTGAAAGTAAAATGATGGTTAAATTTCAAGATAATGTCTTTTAAAATTGCAAATAGTCTCTGAGTATTTTCGTGCAGGTCTGGCCAAAATGTTGTATAAGATGTGCACCATTTCAGCTAACCAAGTTGGAACTGTCTTGTGCAGCTGGTACCAAAAGCAGGTCTTGTAGTAGCGCTATCAGTATCATGACGTCATATCAACCAGGTGGAGTTGTTGTTATGGGGCCCCATCTTCTTCCTGGAAACTTCAAATGTCACTTCAGGAAAAACTCATTGTTCATTATGAAAAACTTAAACATTAATCATATAGACATATATATATATATATATATATATATTCAATGAAAGACATGATAGATATATTCAATGAAAAGTATGATAGATATGAAGAGAAGCAAAGATGTTTTCTAAACTCATATTTCTTTCTGTCCAATATCATGGCTCTTGACATGAGACAGAAACTCCAGAAACTCTGGGTTTTTCTCTTACTAACAGGCTTGGAATTGGAGAGGGACTGAGCCAGAGTCCAACTTCAAAACCAGCTTTATAAATTTAGAAATATGGTTTAATATTACTTACACAACCCATTCAGTTGTCTTGATATTTCCTATTGGGCAGGTATTTTTCCATCTGTCAGTATCCAAACATCCAGGGTCCCTTGAATTTCTCAAAGATGAGTGTTTTCCTGTGGAGATAAGAACAGAACCCTGCCCCCATTCTATATGTTTTTCTTACCACCTGTATGAATATCATCGTTGTGGATGAGTTGTCATTTCTCCTTTCCAAGAGGTTTCTCCTCTTCAAATCGAAACTTTATTAATTTTGATGGTATCCACAATTTTTCTTCTCCTGTGGAAACAAGAGCAAAACCCCTTCCCCAACGTAGCACATCTCCTGGCTTCCACTGAGAGGTCAGCACATCTTTGAAATAAATCGGTTGGTTTAGTTCAGCAGACTTTTCCATTATCCAATGTCTTTCTGCTGCTGTCGTTCCTTTCTCATTAGCGTTAAGAAAATTCAAGGTTAATAAAGCATTATGTAATCTATTTCTGGGGGTATTTTCAGTCCCTTTCTGTTTGTTCAGCATATCCTTTATAGTACGATTTGATCTTTCTATAACTGCCTGACCTGTAGGATTATTTGGTATACCTGTAATGTGTTTTATATTATAATATTCAAAAAAGCATTTCATTTTCTTAGATACATATGCTGGACCATTATCTGTCTTTATTTGCGCAGGTATACCCATGATGGCCATAACTTCCAATAAATGTGTGATTACTGAATCAGCCTTTTCTGAGCTCAGGGCAGTAGCCCATTGAAAACCTGAATACGTGTCTATGGTGTGGTGTACATATTTTAATTTGCCAAATTCTGCAAAGTGGAACACATCCATCTGCCAGATTTCATTCCTTTGGGTGCCCTTTGGATTAGCCCCTGCAGGCAGTGGCGTTTGGTTATAGAAAGAGCAAGTAGGGCATTTCTTTACAATCTCCTTAGCTTGTTGCCATGTAATTGAAAACTCTTTCTTCAAACCTTTGCTATTAACATGATGTTTTTTATGAAATTCAGAGGCTTGTAGCACACTACCAATCAATAATTGATCAATTTCTGCATTACCTTGTGCTAGAGGACCTGGCAGACCCGTATGGGATCGGATGTGTGTTATGTACATAGGGCAAAGCCTGTTCCTGATCAAATCTTGAACCTGGAGGAACAATGAGGTTAGTTCAGTATCATCAGGTATAAATTCAGCAGTTTCAATATGTAAAATAACTCTTTCTGCATATTGTGAATCTGTAACTATAATAATAGGTTCTTTAAAATCCCTTAGCACCATAAGAATGGCATATAATTCCGCCTTCTGGACAGAAGTATACGGACTTTGTTCCACCTTATCCAAGTCTTCTGATTTGTAACCTGCCTTCCCTGATTTATTGGCATCAGTATAGAATGTACGGGCTCCAGTTATTGGAGCATCACGGACGATTCAAGGAAGAATCCAAGAAGTTCTCTTTATGAAGTTAAGCCGCTTGCTTTTTGGATAGTTGTTATTAATGTCTCCCAAAAAATTAGCACAAGCTCTTTGCCATGGTTCATTATCTTCCCATAATTTCTTTAGTTCATCAGCAGTGAAAGGCACTATAATTTCTGCTGGGTCTATGCCTGCTAGTTGACGAAGTCTCAGCTTGCCTTTTATAATTAACTCAGAGACTTTTTCCACATAAGTTTTCAGTTTCTTACTTGGTTTATGTGGTAAAAAGATCCATTCCAAAATAATATCATCTCTCTGCATTAAAATTCCTGTAGGAGAAATTTTTGATGGTAGTATGACGAGAATACAATCGAGCTCTGGATTCACCCTGTCCACATGTGCCTGTTGTAATTTTTCCTCAATCATTGTCAGTTCCTTTTCTGCTTCAGCTGTTAATTCTCTGGGACTGTTTAAATCTTTATCACCATCCAAGGTTTTGTTCAAATGAATTATTAAATCAGGTGTTATTCCAATAGCTGGTCGTAGACTGGAAATATCTCCTAACAGCCTTTGAAAGTCATTAAGAGTCCGTAGGCGATCTCTCCTAATTTGTGCTTTTTGTGTCTTAATTTTTTGCAAACCTATTTTATAACCTAAATAATTAACAGAATCTCCCTTCTGAATCTTTTCAGGAGCTAATTGCAATCCCCATTTAGGTAAAAGTATCTTTATTTCTTCAAACAGTCTGTTCAAGGTATCCATGTTTGAATCGGATAACAAGATGTCGTCCATGTAATGGTATACTATAGATTTGGGAAATTTCTTGCGTATTATTTGCAATGGTTGGTTCACAAAATATTGGCACAGGGAGGGGCTATTTAACATACCCTGGGGGAGAACGGTCCAGTGGTACCTCCTCGAAGGTTGAGAATTGTTATAAGTAGGCACTGTGAAGGCAAATTTTTCTCTATCTTCTTTTTGCAAAGGTATAGTGAAAAAACAATCCTTTAAATCAATAACTATGAGAGGCCATCCTTTTGGTAATAAAGAGGGCAAAGGAATTCCAGATTGCAGAGGGCCCATAGGTTGAATAACCTTGTTGATGGCCCTGAGATCTGTCACCATTCTCCATTTACCTGATTTTTTCTTAACCACAAATACAGGAGAATTCCAAGGGCTGGTAGATTCTTCTATATGTCCAGCATCTAATTGTTCTTGTACCAGCTGTTCTAAAGCCTGTAACTTTTCTTCAGCTAAAGGCCATTGCTTTGTCCATATTGGTTTCTCAGTCAACCATTTTAGAGGCAAGGCTGTTGGTATCTCTGAAGGGACATCAATTGCTTGTTCTTTTACAGCCCGAATGGCCGGTTTTCTCAGTTTGTAATATCTTTTAATATTATTCTCAGAAATATAGGCTCTAGATTTAGCAGGAATGTTAATTTCAGTATTCCATTGTTATAATAGGTCACGACCCCATAAATTCATTGCAATATTGGCTACATATGGCTTTAATTTTCCTATTTGTCCCTCTGGCCCTATACATTCAACCCATCTCGTGCTCTGCCTTACTCGAGATAGGGTTCCAATTCCCAGGAGCTGAACATTTACATTCTGAAGAGGCCAATACGGATGCCAAGATTCTGGGGTAATGATACTTACATCAGCACCTGTGTCCAGCAGGCCAGTAATAAAAATGCCATTTACACACACTCTCAGTTTAGGTCTTTGATCATTTATAGAAGTTTGCCAAAACACACGTAACTTATCTTTCTGATCATTATTGCTTGTAACAGTAGGCATGGGGCTTCCTAATTGTCCTGATGAGGCACGTTCTCTGCAGAAACTGGATATGACTGAACCATGTTTGCCATGGGGGCCTGTGAGGCCCCCCCTCTCACGTTTCCCGGCTGTATCAGGTTGCCTTGTCTATCTCTTGTAGACCTGCATTCATTCGTCCAATGTCTGCCCTTTCCACATCTTCTACATAAACCTGAGGGCTGAGTCCTCCTATTTCTGTTATTTCTAGAAGATGCATTATTATTATTATTTCTGAAAGATGCATTATTATTATTATTATTATTTCTGAAAATCCGTTGTTTACAATTCCTTTTAATATGACCCATTTTTCCACAATTAAAACATTTGGTATTCTGGTGTCTCCTTTTACCATTGGAAATTGCTTCTTCTACCCATGCTTCAGTGCCATAATCAAATGTATCAACATTGAGTGTATGCAAGACCCATTCTTCCAACGGTGCTGATCTGAGCTTTAAAGGCCCCAAAATCCTTTTGCATTCCACATTTGCATTTTCATAAGCCAAAGACTCAATCATTATACGCCTTGCTTCTGGGTCAGATATTCCTATTTGTACAGCCTTAGTTAATCTTTGTAAAAAGTCACTAAAGGGTTCTCTCTGACCCTGTTTAACTCTGACAAATGATTCCATTCTCTGTCCTGGGTCTTGTACCCTGTCCCAAGCCCTTAAGGCTGCTGTAGTACACATGGAGAGTGTGTTTTCATCCAAATTAGCTTGTTCCTGAGGATCAGAAAAGAGCCCTTCACCTAGAATTTGATCTAGGGAAATGTCAATTCCCTTTGCTTTTTCCTGCTGTTCTAAGAGTCTAGCCTCTTGCCTGAATAAGCATTTCCATTTCAATTGCGGTCCACTCTCCAGTACCGCAGAGCTCAGCTGGAGCCAGTCTGAGGGGGTTGCTCTGCTTGTCGTGGCCCAAGATCTTAGCATCTCTTTAACAAAAGAGGCTTGCATCCCAAAAGTCATGACAGCCTGTTTTATTTCCTTGAGATCATTCATACGCACAGGTTCCCATGTATCCTCCTTGATGACCCTAGGGTTTTTGGAACCAATCACCTTCTCTGTTGTTATTACTGGAAAGGCAGGTAGAGCTGTAGGTAGAGCTTTGTGGAAATTGTCCCGGAGAGACTTACCCACAGATGTAGTTAAAATTTTCCTTTCTACCCTTTGCTCTTCCTCATCAGAATTTAGAAATTCCTCAATCTTTTCAATTCTATTCACCATTGCTTTCTGCAATGTCTGAATCTCCTGTCCAGAATTATGTTCCAAAGCCTTCATTGAGGATTCTAAAATATGAAGTTTGTCCGTTAGAGATAACATCTCATCTTTGGACATAATTTTTATGGCATAAACCGTGCCTTCTTGTATTGACAATCTTTCCGTCAATCTGTCATAAGCTTTAGACAAAATCCGATTGTCACATTCAGCAGTTTTGATTCTCTCAGTTAATGTTTCATTTCCTACAGAAAGGGACTGAATCTTATGGTCCAGATCAGCTGTTCCCTCTTCCATAGTAATGAATTTCTCCTTAACATCAGCCTGAAGAACTTCAACCTGATTCTTGAGAAGATTGTTATCAGCCTGGAGAACTTCAAACTGATTCTCGAAAAGATTGTTATCAGTCTGGAGAACTTCATCCTGATTCTTGAGAAGATTGTTATCAGCCTGGAGAACTTCAAACTGATTCTTGAGAAGATTGTTATCAGCCTGGAGAACTTCAAACTGATTCTTGAGAAGATTGTTGTCATTCTCAATTGTTTTTAAGCGTTCAATCTCTACCTTAAGAATCCTGGATTCGTCTCGTAAAGACTTTATCATATTTCTATTATCAAACCATTTGGTGCCAATGAAAACTACGAATCCCAGAAGGATCCATATATGTGGGGTGATAGACACCTCTTGTAAAATCTCCCACATGGTACAATTAAAAAAATCATTAAATTTTTGAACAGTAATGTGTTCAGACATTTTATTTATAAAAGAAAATTTTTTTACCTGCAAAGATCGGTTCCTGCCAGTGGTGGTCTCTGTTTTTGGAGCCTGTCCTAGAACTAGCTCTTGTAGACCAGGCTGGCCTTGAACTCACAGAGATCCGCCTGTCTCTGCTTCCCAAGTGCTGGGATTAAAGGCGTGCACCACCACCGCCTGGCTTAAGCTGCTTCTTGAAGGCTGAGTTCACTGGGCAAAGGCACATATGCTGGGCAAGTGCTGGGATTGAAGGCGTGCACTACCAAGGCCTGGCAGGCCTCAAACTCACAGAGATCTGCCTGCCTCTGCTTCCCAAGTGCTGGGATTAAAGGCGTGCACCACCACCGCCTGGCTTAAGCTGCTTCTTGAAGGCTGAGTTCACTGGGCAAAGGCACATATGCTGGGCAAGCCCTTTACCACTGAGCCCCATCTAGCCCCAAGTAACTATTTTAATTAAAATGAGGATATTTTTCCTATCATTCTGTACTTATTTCACTTGCAAATTTGTTTAGAGATTGTCACATGATTTCTTCAAGAGCTGTGCTTTATTTTTCATGGTGATGTAATGTCTGGAAAGATTTATTAACAAAAATGTCTTGTTGCCATGCTAATAAAGAGTATAGTCATTCAGAAAGAAAGTGGTTCAGGTTGACTGAGGAGGAAACTCGCCTTTAGTCAATCCATAGTAGAAGGTAAGGTCTGAACTTGCGCAGTGGCAGGAGTCACACCCTTCCCATCTTCACTTAGCACTAGACGTTTCCTGTTGCCTAAAGAAAAAAATCTGTAAACTTGTCTGTTTAAGGCTACCTTCCCAAATAATATTTTTCACTGAGCCATAAGCCCCTGAACATAGTATATTTCTTAGAAACTGACAGTAGTCCCCCATTTTTGTGCTACAAGTTTCAGGCTCAATCCAGGGCCCTTAGCAGGCCACCTTGTCACATAACTCCCCAGAAATACTGTACTGCACACTGTGTAGCGAATAGTATCTTTGTCACTAACCTTAGTAGCTTTGTTCAAACCCTTTTCCCTACTATAGGACAGTGGGTGGTTATAGTCACAAACTATAGAACCAGGCTGTTGGGCTCTTAATTTACCCCGCTTCTTACTTGCTAGCCCTGTGACTTCAGGTGCATCTTCTTATAGGAATTAAATTAGTTAGTATGTACAAAAGGAGTCAATACAGTCATAGCAAGGCTATGTCCTAAGAAGTACACTGCTTTAGGATATTTGAGACAGTCTTATGGAGCCTAGCTACCTTCAAACTCAATATGTCACTGAGATTGGCTTTGAACTCCTGTTCTCCCTGCCTCTACCTCCTGAGTGCTGAGATTACGAGTCTGCTGCCATACCTACCTTGATAGGATCTTCATTGTGGAAATAGCCTAGAGTGTATATACTTACATAAACTAAGATGTTTGTGGCAGGCCACCATCACATATGTGGGCCATTTTGTCTGAACCATGTTTATGTCAATACCTATTTCCTTAGGTATGTGTATATTTGTATGTTAGATTGGTACATGATACATAGTAAATGCTCTGTTAATATTTGCTCTTACTACTCACATGTACCTGCCACACAGATTCCCTTTGTAATGCCCCCATAGGTAGACAACACACTCTGCGTTAGGTTTAGCCTGGGTTCTTACTAAAGGTGGGCCTAAGTCTGACTTAATTTTTTGTTCCCAGGATTGTCCCACATAGTGGGGCATGAAGTGGGTGTTAAAAATACTAGCTATAGCTGACCTCTGGTGGCATACACCTTTAATCCTAGCACTCAGGAAGCATAGGCAGGTGGATCTCTGAGTTCGAGATCAGCCTAGTCTACAGGACGGCCAGGGCTGTTACAAAAAGAAATCCTGTCTGGGAAAAGAAGTACTAGTCGAGTAAAGCCTTGAAGGGTTATTTCAACAAAGGATCATTAGAATATGAATTGTCACTAATAGAGTAACTTCTTTTTTCTGTTCTTACTCTGTAGCCCAAACTAATCTAGAACTCAACCATGTAGTCCAGACTGATCTTACGGTTACAACAATCCTGCCTTACCCTCTTGACTGCTAGATTATAGGTGTAAGCTACTACTGCTTCCTTTCCTTTTTCAAATTATTGTAAAACCTTGCAAACTACCCGGTGCTCATCCACTGACACATGAACAAACTAAGTCTTGTCGGCTAACTAAGCACCAGTTAGGATATGATGGAGCTATAACTGGCTCTAGATTCCTTCTTACTCAAGCTTGTCGTTGGCTTCTCTGCAGGAGTGTTTGGAGATCAAGACCCCATCATTATTCTTTTTCTCTCCAGATTGGAGACCACACTGGGTATTGTACCATTCCAAGGCGCCACCAGATGGGGTGGCCTAAACGCAATGTGGACCAATACTTCCCCCCAAACGATGATCCAGTGGAAATCTGGACAGTGGACCGCCGCCCAATGTTGCAGAGGATCCTGGAGACAGACCCACTTCAGCAAGGCCAGGCTCTGGCATCTGCCTTGAAGAATAAGAAAAAATTACAGAAGCGTTCAGGTAAGGGTACCTGACTTTGCTCTGAAAATTCCTATGCTCCAAAAATGCCTGATAGGGGCCAGGGTTCAGGTATTTTTGAATAAGCATTGCGACATGTGACTACCTCTATGGAAGGCTTGAAGGGATGGGGTTAGGAGGCTCACAGACTGGCAAGTGGTTCTCAAAATTCTAGCTTGGATCGATGTCATTGGCAGGGTTTGTTAAAGCAGATTTCTGGGGCCCACACTTGTAGGCCACTGACCTGGCCTGTGCATCATGTCCCACATTTCTTGGGTGTTTTCTGTGTGTTGGGTAGAATGCATATTATCATTTGTACTGTATCAGTAGGAAGTGCATTTGAAACCCCAGAGGATACAAAGTAAAATCTCTCAAAGCTTTCTACCATAGGCAGCTGGCTAGTGAATTGCCACCTGTTTTTTGAGACACAGTTTCGCTCTGTAAACCGGGCTGGCCTTGAACTCACAGAGGTCTGCCTGCCTCTGCCTCCGGAGTGCTGGAATTAAAGGTGTGTGCCACCATCACCCAGCTAATTTCTTGCCCTTCTTAAGACAGATATATGCAGAAGCCTTGTATTCTTTGTCTTCTTTTCCACACCAGTTCTTATCACAGAGCATACAGTTTTGCTTCATAATTTCTCATTCTGTGTCTTAGGGATATTTCCACATCAGGGCACACAAAAGTATTTCTTCTCTGTGTAAATGGTGGTCCTTGGTGCAGCTGACTCATTCAGGTTTTTAGGGTATGTATAGTTGGTCCTCCATATCTGTGGCTTCTGTCCTACAGATCCAGTCAGGTGGAAATAAGAATACTTGAAAGGAACTGCATCTCTAGGTGCTGGAAAGATGACCCTTTCCGTCTTAAGAGCTCTTGTCTTTGCTGAGGACACAGGTTTGCTTCCCAGCCCACACAATGACTCACAACTGTCTGACTCTAGTCTTAGGTCATCCAACGCCTCTTCTGACCTTTACAGGCACTTAGCTTGCAAGTGGTGCGCACGCATACATATACATAAAGTTAAGGTTTTGGTTGGTTTTCCAATACAGGGTCTCATTGTGTAGCTTTGCCTGACCTGGAACTCACTTTAGAAAGCAAGTCAGCCTTGAACTACAGAGATCCACTTGCCTATGCCTCCCAATTGCTAGGATTAAAGGCGAGCACCACTATTCCTGGCTAAAAAAAATAAGTTCAAAATAGGTACAGTCTATATTTCTTGTCAGTAGTTCTTTTTTTTTTTAATATTTATTTATTTATTATGTATACAACATTCTGCCTGTGTGTATGTCTGCAGGCCAGAAGAGGGCACCAGACCTCATTACAGATGGTTGTGAGCCACCATGTGGTTGCCGGGAATTGAACTCAGGACCTTTGGAAGAGCAGGCAATGCTCTTAACCTCTGAGCCATCTCTCCAGCCCCTTGTCAGTAGTTCTTAAGCAACACAGTATGGCAGCTGTTTTATAGCATGTGTATCAGATTGGATATTAGCAATCTCGGCACGCAGGAGGATGTGTGCAGGTCATGTGAAGATACTAACTACATTATTGTTAGTAAAGCTGTGGTCTCCTTGTGCCTGTGGATATTGAGGAGTGATAAGACAGTTTTCAGTGAATTAATAAAGGTAAGAATACTCGCACTTCAGTATCTGTGGTTTCAAAATACAAATGTAGCCAGGTGGTTGTGGTACATGTCTTTAATCCCAGCACTCGGGAGGCAGAGGCAGGCAGATCTCTGTGAGTTCGAGGCCAGCCTGGTCTACAAAGCAAGATCCAGGACAGGCTCCAAAGCTATTGAGAAACCCTGTCTCGATACAAAACAAAATAAAACAAAAAACACCAACAAAATACAAATATAGGTAGGGTTGATTGACTCTGTGATGTCTATTCTTTTTAGCTAGGCCATATTTTATAGCCATCTTACTGTGGCTCTCTCTATTCTGAGTCCTGGGAATCCAGGGGTGGATTTGAACTCCAAATCTTGTTAGGGAGTAGGGAGGAGAAAAAGCAGACACTGACAGTGTAGAATGATCACTCTGACGGCATGTACAGCAAGCACTTGGAGGGAGGGAGCATAACCCAACTTGGTGACGGGTAGTCAGCAGAGGCTTCCTGGAGAGGAGCACGTGTATCTGGAGGCTGGAGCTGGGCATGCTAAGCGCTCAGGCTCAACGCCAGTACTACTGTGCACTCCTTTGCTGGGAATGCTTGTTTGGGGGTGGCTAGGGTAATGGAGGAGTGCTAAGTTCATACAGTAGAAGGAAGTTACTATTTTGGTACTTAGAATTTACAAAAATACTTGGAATTCTGTGAGTCTGAAACCCTGAGATGAAACTGCTGTGGTTGATCACTTCACAGTGAGTGAATTTTCCTGTGAGGTTGAGTGACAGTTGTAATGGCGCATCTTTTTTTTTGCTGAATGATTAGGTGGGTAACCGAGCCAGTTGGAAGGTTAGAATGGGCCAAGCTAGTGATAAGCTAGCTGTGGCAGGCCTTCCGTTAGCCAAGCCAGCCACTCACAGGTTGCCTGTATTTCCCCATCTACAGAGAAAATCGCCAATAAGTTGTCTGACTCCATGATGTCGATGCTCGACCTCTCTGGCAACTGCGACGATACTGCTGGCGACGACAATGCTGGCAACGACACTGCTGGCGACTGATGAGCTGACCTTCCCTCCTGCTGCAAACACTGTTTCCTATGGGATGGGAGAATACGGATGGCGTTTGATTCTCCCTGATGTACCTACATAGTAGAAGAACACCCCCACACCATCTGTCTTCTGCCACGGTGCCCTCCATTCTCATCAGTTAAGAGTCTCAAAGATCTGGAGCTGCCAGACCCTAATACCCTCTTAGTTCTTATGTCCTTAGAAATGACATTTTGTTTGTTTTTGTGGTGCCAAGGATTGAACCTAATAGGTCCTCACGCATATTAGACAAACATCTATTACCAAGCTGTATTATTATTATCATTATCACCATCCGTTATTATCATTGGAGAAAGATTCTTGCTATGGATCCCATTCTGCTTACTCAGCCTCTCAAGTAGTAGGATTACAGGCTTTTGCCACCATTCCCGGCTCCCACTGTGTTTTACAACGTAATATCAACAGAGTCTTGGCATGGTAGCTACATACCTATAAACCTGACTCTTGGAAGACTGAAGCTAGGAGGATTGCCTAAGTTAAAGGAGAGCCTGGACTATCTGGCAGAACCTTTTCTTAACCTACAGCCCAAAACAAATAGTAGAGTTTGGGCTGTGCTGGCGCACACCTTTAATCCAACCACTTGGGAGGCAGAGGCAGGCAGATCTCTGAGTTCTAGGCCAGCCTGATCCAGGACTACACAGTGAAACTCTGTCTTGAGAAACCAATAAGTCAGTAAATAAAATCGTAGTATTAAAAATACAAATAAGCCGAGTCCAAGTGCTAGCAATGTACCCAGTACTCCTAATTCCTGTGTTTCACCTTGTGGGTTAGGCTGATAAGGTTTGAACTCTTGGACAGGTGAATGTTCTAAAGGATGGACTGCTGAGAAATCTGGTGGCAGGGTGTCCCTGGACAGGTGATCCTTTGTGATTTTATCACCCCACAAGATCTCAGTGCCAAGGCATTCCGAAGGCTCTTGGCTGTACATTTTCTCAATCACTAGGTGGGCCCTCATCGCAGTGGTAAGCCTTCTATGTCTCTGCAGCTGTCTAGGGATAGGGAAGAGGGTGAAGATTCCAGAAGAGATATACCTATCATAGTAAGTTGGAAAGCCATTGACTGTAGGATGTTCAGGGAATGTAGATCATACCTGTGTTTTCCAGACAGAGTTAGGTACTGGCTGAGTCCAGACTACCAAACTCTGAGAATTAGTTAGCTCCTTTAACCTTCAATACGTCCCTGTCAGGAAGAGGTAGGGCTCAGAGAACTGACAGAATGTGTTTACAATGTTAAGTGGTGGTATACTAGGTTTAAAATGAGTGTAATTAAAATCATGCTAGCCTTCTGTTCTGTATTGTATTGCCTTCTCCACACAGGAGCACTGGTCCAGGCATTCACCCTGTGGTGGTTTCTGGTATCAACCCTTCTCAATGCATTTTCGCTACCCTGGTTTTAAAAACAGGTAGCATTTTATGACAACTACGCTTTCCAGGTCTCTTTAAATCGTGTTCAACTTAGTTCACTGATTTCGGTGAAGTTTTGGTAGATAATAATATATTAGAAATAAAAGCATGTAGACCCTAGCCAAAATAAAATGGAACTAAAATAATCATGTCAGAATAAGAATTTCAGACTCCAGCCAGTGACTCACATCAGTATCCTAGCACTCAGGATGCTGAGGCTGTGAGCCTGAGTCCAGCCTGGACTGCAGAGTACCAGGGGTGGTCTGCCACCATTATCACGACACAGAATTTTTAGTTGGGCAGTGTTGGTATATGTCTTTAATCCCAGCACTTGGGAGATAGAGGCAGGTGGGTGTCTCTGGGTTCCTGGACAGCCAGAACTGTTAACACAAAGGAACCCTGTCTTAGAAAACAATCAAGCAAAACACAGCAATGTTAGAAAAAAATGTATACAGATTTTTTGTGGCATTCTCCCCAAACTTACCATGTCACCTTGTAATATAGCCCTGTTTCTGTCCTCAGATCCTGGCAAGCACTGATCTTTTTCTCGTTCCTTATTGTGGATGTTGTAAGTCACACAGGGGCTTATTTTATGCCGTTAAGCTTTTAGCTTTGTACCGTGAAACTTTACGTTCATGTAAAATACAGTTGCATAAGCCCTGCTAAGTGGATGAACACAGTAACAGATTCTGTTAGCCTCCCTCACCGTCTCCTGCTGTGACAGTGAAATCTAGTCCTCTGAACCTACTACCCATGGCAATCTCTGATGTGTCTTTGACTTTCTGCCTTGTCCCTTGAAAAGAATTGTAAGTGGAATTTAAGAGTATAACTTTTGAGAATAACTTGCTGTGAGTTAGATTCAAGATCTGTATCACTGGGTGTATCGATAGTTCTGATTGCTATTTCATACTCCATTGTGTAGATGTACTACTGCTTATTCAATCCCAAGTTGGAAGACATTCTTTACAGTTGAGGAGGAAGTAATGAATAAAGCTGCTAAAAGAGCTTCTGTGAGACTGTTTTCATTTCTTTGGCATTACAACCTAGACTTGGATTGCCCGAATAGATGGTAAGCATATGGTTAACATTCCAGGAACTGCTAAACTTCTTTGTTCATTAAAAAACTTTCTTATTTTGCCTGCATGTATGCCTGTGTACCACATGCATGGCTTGGTGCCTACAGAGGCCAGAAAAGGGGCGTCAGATCCCATGGAACTGAAATTATAGGCAGTTGGTTGTAAGCCACTGTATGGGTGCTGGGAACTTCGGTCCTCTGCAAAAGCAGCCAAGTTCTCTTAACTGCTGAGCCATCTCTCTGACTCTGGTGTGCATTTTAAGTTCACTTTTAAAATTCATTGTTTTCATTTTGGTACACACACACACTTACACACTATTCCATCTGTTGATGGATATCTAGGCTGGTCCCTTAACTTGTCTGTTGTAAACAGTATAGCAATAAACATGTATGTCCTGCTGCCCCTGTGCCATGCTGATTGGATCCCTTCAGGTCTGTGTCCAAGAGTTAGTGTAGCTGTTCTGTATGATAGTTGTACTTTTTGAAGGTTTATGCTTTGAGAGAAGAAATTGTTGGCGAGTGAATGCACGTGTGTTCCACAGGGGTGCCTGAGGAGGCGGGAAAACAGCAGATGCCTTGGAACTGGAGTTCAAGGTTGTGACATAGCTGCCAGGAACCAAACTCTGGACTTTTTGGGACAACAGCTAGTCTTTGTCATTACTGAGCTGCCTCTCCAGTCCCAATAGTTGAATTTTTAGCTTTTCACTGAATCTCCCTGCTGCTTTCCACAGGGGCGACAGCAGTTCCTGATTCCACCAGCAGGGTTTCCCTTTTCCCGCATCACCAGCATTATCGTCGCTCGATTTCTTGATGATAGCCACTCCTCTGACTGGGTTAAGATGGACCTCTCAAAGCAGATTTAAGAGGCCTTTTCCCTGGTGGCTAAGAATGATGATGAACATTAAAAAATGTACTGACTGTTTCTATTTCTTTTAAAAATATTTTCATTATTTTTTTGTAGGAATTTCCCAATGCGCTGTCAGCTGTGTGCATTCTGTGTGCTTTCCTTTGCTCTGCAGAATCCCTTGAATTTTGTGCGATGCCATCTTCAGTTTTGGGGCTTTCTCCTATGCTCTCAGACTCCTTTCCAGAAAGTCCTTCTCTATGCCTGTACTTTGTTTCCCCCGTGTCTCTAGCGCTTTCGGTTGCAGCTCTCACTTTAAAGTCCGACCCATCTTGAATTGATTTTTGTTCAGGGTGAGAGAGATGGGTCCTGGTTCATTCTGCAGGCTACTGTCAGTACCATGTTTTGAAAACACTGTCTTTTCTCCAGTTATGTTTCGACAACTTTGTTAAAGATTAGGTGCGTGGGTTTATTTCTGGACCCTCTATTCCATTTTTCTGTGTGTCTTTGCTAAACCATTTCCAGCATGGCATTACCATTCCTCTCCCATCAGGACATAAAGGGTTCAGATCTGCATCCTCTAGCACTTGACTGTTTGCCCCTCCCCAGCTGTGGATAGGACCTAACACCTTACACATGCGAATCAAATGCTTTACGACTTGAGCTGTCATCTCTAATTCTGTTGTTGGTATCCTGATAGGCATTCAGTAGTGTCTCATTGTGCTTTTAATTTGTATTTCCTAACTACTAATGGTTTGATCCTACTTTCATCTATGCATTTTCCATCCATTTCTCTTTGTCCAAGTGTTCAGATCTGTTGTTTGATCATCTATTTGCAGTGCTGAGTATCAAACCTAGGATGATCTTGCATGCTACCCAAATACTCTACCATTAACCATACCCCAGACCTCCCTGTACATCTTGTCTTTGTTTATTATTTGGAAGAGTTCACACTGGATACAAATTATCAGATACATGCCTTGTAAAGAAAAAATTTCCAGTATGTGGTTTATCTTTTCATTCTTTATAAGCAGTGTTTATATAATTAACTCAAAGGAAAAACCCTATTGACAGATTTAGTTTAAAAGTTGTAGTAAAATAGACATAAAAATCACTATCTTAATCGTTTTAAGTATACACTTCAATAGCTCACATTGTAAAATTATCACCAGTCAGTTTTAGAGTTCTCTTCATTTCATATACCCAGAACTCTGCACCTGTTATTACACAGTGATCCTGTGTTTCTTCCCGGCAGACAGTTCTAGTTTTTTCTGTAAATCTGAATTATAACCGCACATATGCAGAACCATGGGACATTTGTGCTTATGTGACTTGCCTATTTTACTACACTTAGCATAATGTCTTTAAAGTTTATCCATACTGCTTGCAAATTTTTTTAAAACTTTATTTTTTGAGACAGAGTCTCCCTATGTACCCCTGGCTGGCCTGGAACTCACTAGGCGAGTCTAGCCTCAAACTCGGTGATCTGCCTACGTTTCCCTCCTAAGAGCTCAAATTAAAGGCATGCATATGCCACTGTATGCAGCCTGTCATTTCTTTCTAAGGTGCTATATGTATGTTTCAGCATTTTGAAGGATAATGATAAAAATAATATGTTTAAGGTACTTTTGTTTACTTTTTTTGAGACAAGATCTCACGTAACTCAAGTTGGCCTTGAATTTAATGATAGTATATCTTTTGGACAAACACCACCCAAGAGGGATTGAGTCCTTTCACGAGAGCTCTATTTTTAATTTTGAGGCAACTACCATACTGTTTCTGTAATGGCTGTACTAATTAATATCCCCACTAATAGTGTGTAAGAGATCCTCTTAGGTCGGGTGGTGGTGGCACACGCCTTTAATCTGAGCTCTAGGAGGCAAAGGCAGGCGGATCTTTGAGTTGAGGCCAGCTTGGTGGTCTACAGAGCGAGTTCCAGGATAGCCAGGGCTATAAAAAGAAACACTGTCTGGAAAAAACAAAAATAAGATAAAACAAAGAAGCCTTCTTGGGCTGGAGAAATGGTCCAACAGTTAAGAGATCTTTAAAAAAAAAGAAAACAGAATTTTTTATTTTGCATACTAATCACAGTACCCTCTCCCTCCCCTCCTCTCAATCCCTCTACCCCCATCCATTCCTCAGAGAGGGTAAGGGACATTGCTTTGAGGAAAGACCAAGGCCCTCTCTACTCTATCTAGGCTGAACAAGATATCCATCCAAAGAGAAAAGGTTCCCAAAATGCCAGTACAAGCAGTAGGGATAAGTCCTGGT